TGCAGGAATCAAACCTCGATCACAGATGTGATAGGTACATGCACTGACCGCAATATTTCTCAGTAGTGACTTACCTTTGTGTTCAGTTAAAACAATCAATAATCTTCGTATAAGTTGGTCCAAGGAAGACGGCTCTGTAGATTCATTATCAACAGGGGCTTCCTCATCTGAGGTCAACGTTTCATGTTTCCTTTCCTAGTTGGAAAATGAACACAAATCCAATACATATTATTGCAATAGAAATGAGGAACAAGAACAAGGCCGGATTCTACAAAAAGGTGCCATGCAATACTGAGTGTGGAGAGATGACAGATATTTGTTGGTGATAAAACGTTTGGTGTGGGGTCGTATGTAATAGTAGGGGGGGGGGGGGGCTGGGGCATTCTCCCCCAGAAACTGTTTTGTATTTTTCCACCCCTATACGACTGCATTTCGTGCGTTTTCTGAAACAGATTTTTGGATATAAAACGTTACATTATATTGTAGTTTAACTGAATCTTCAGTTAAGTATTTGCATGGTAAGTTTATGTAAATACCACAACTCGATCACCAACTTGTTTAGCCCAGCCTTCCAACAACTCAAACCTACTGTATAGGGTCTGGGATATGCTATCCACTGGCAAATTTTTAAAATCCGAGGTATTTGCAACACAATATTTAGCATTTTTAAAAAGACGTTGAATCATTTGAAGATAAAAAACATGACATAAGATTCACAAAGCAAATTTTAGTTAACCTCCCTTCTAAATCCCATTTTTCTTCCAATATTTTGCTTATATTTTACAGTACAGTACAATACAGTACAATTACAATACAATACAATACAATACAATACAATACAATACAATACAACTATCCTGTACCATCTAAAATCACATAGCACATACCACTGACTCTGGTTCAGAGTGATTAATATCAAGCTTGTCTGTCGGTGTTGAACTGAAAAATATTATAAACATTGATTTCATATCAGAACAGGAATGGAACAGGATGGCAAATTCCGGAATGGTAGACTCCCCACTTACATTTTGTCTCCATTAATGTGATTTTCGTATCTGAAATTGTCAAGTGCAAAAACTGGAGTACTGCTTGTAGAGGTGGTAGATGTGACAGATGGGGATGAAGGGGAGAAACCAGGAGAATTTAAGGATAATTGTGGATCATGGTCGACATCGACAACGGATCCGAAGAATACTTCTGAGAGCAGTCCATCACGATTTGTTTTCTTGAGTTTCGTCTCTTCTTTTCTTGACAGAGGTCTGAAAACAATAGAAAAGCAGGAATAGGATAAATAACCTACTTCCTGACAGAATGCAGGATACTACTACACATGTAAAAATCTCACAACTTGTCAACAAGATGTGTTCGCAACAGGCTTGTAGCAAGCTTGTCAACAAGTTGTAACAATGCTGTTATTTTATCAAGTTGCTACAAGGTTGTCACTCGCAACTTGTTGACAGATTGCTGAATTGCAGGACGATAATAAGTTGTTCGAACAACTTGTAACAAGTCTGTTGAGCTCAACAATCTTGGAGCAAGTTGTCAACAAGCCGCTGACAACTTGTCTACTGGGAACAAGCAGTGCGAACACATCCTGTTGACAAGTTGTTGGAACAGCATTGCTACAAGTCCGCTGCAAGTTTTGTAGTAATCTCTATAAGTTTTTCGTAAAAAGTATTGTACTCACTGCCAATGAAACGTGACTCGTAATTTCAAGTTTCCAGTTTTGTTCACAGGAATTGAGAGACTCTGAAATTATGTAAAGATAGTTTCAAGCATAAAGCCCTTGTTTCACCTCCTAAAACTGTATTAGATTCATGCGATGAATAATGCACAATTTTTCTTAACAATAATTTATGTCATCGAGTTTGTTTTGACAAATCGGAAAATGATCAAGATAGTAACTCTGATTGATTTACATATTGTATTGACATATGACTGTTGATACTGCTTTTTAGTCTTCAATATTTGAGTGAGTCATGCTTTGGGAACAACAATACATTTTTATTACCCAACCCTTGAGTTGTTTTGTTTTTCATTTACCCAACAATTTGCTCAATCAAAATTTTGTTTACCCAACCCTTTTCTCCTTCGGTGCCACCCCCCGCCATAAATGAAATAATGACCCCTCCCTAAACAAAATTTCGAGTGAGTAAAAAGTGGGTAAATTTTTGGAAAAATAGGTAACTTAGAAGTTCTTTACAAATGGATATTCGTCGCGTTGCTGTCCCATTAGTGATTGACTGATTGCGCAACAATTGGAAATCCGATTGCGCAACAATCGGAAATTTATATCGATTATTCGTGCCTGCCACAATCTTCCGGATACCAATGCCGATTTTATAATGACGTCATAAGATCAGTCGTCCGAGTAAAGGTGACCTCATTCATGTCGACTTTTTAACGATACTTAGTTTCACGCTTCACGCATTAATTTAACATATTGCGTTAAAACGCAACGTGTAATCAACGCGCAATGCATATAGTTTTTAAAGTGCGCATTTTCTCAACAAGCGGTTTTAGACAATCAGAAATATAGATAATTCTACCGATTCCGATTGTCTACCGATAAGGCAAAAATCGGCCCGATACCGATTATCGGTCAACCACAAAGTATAAATTTCAGAACCATCCTCAGAGATACGAAAAACTAGTTTCATATTAATTCAAATTCTGAATGAATAAACGATGAAATGACAACTTGCATGTACAACTAATGGACAACTAAATTTTAATCTAAGTAAAGGGAAGGGAATCAAACACCACAGCTAAAAAGAACATAATGAAATTAGTAAAATTACAAAATTTGGTTGCGAAATGTTGTAAAGCTTGGAAAATATAGCCTTGCGAAGTTTGCAAATTTTGTATATGTTTGTATTATGTGCGGAAATTGTTACCATTTTCGGCTCAAAAATGGTAACAATTTCCGTACGTAATACAAACATATACAAAATATATACAAACTTCGCAAGGCTATATTTTCCGTATTTTACAACATTTCGGAGCCAAATTTTGCAATTTTACTAATTTTAATAAGTTCTTTACGCGAATTTACTTTTTTTTTGCCTAGATCAAATGCTTTAAGTTGTCTACTGAAACGTACCATTGGCCGAGAGGCGATGTAATTACGTAATCGTATTGAAAAACTTCCCAACTGTGCATTTGACTGAATCTTCTTAATTTCAATAATCTGCATGAGAAATTGGAAAAAAGTATAAGTGCTAGTTCTTTGAAGTAAAACGCATTTCCAATAGAGCAACTTACCCTCAGAAAAAGACCATCTTTTAGAGAACCTTTGACCTCAATCTAATAAATAGAATAGACAATTCGCATTATAGACTATTTTTTTATCTTAGCAAAAAAGTATATTCCCGGTAAGAGCATACTAAAATGAGCAAAATTGCAAAGTTTGGTTGCGAAATGTTGTAAAATGCGGAAAATATAGCTTTGCAAAGTTTGCAAATTTTGTATACTTTTGTATTGCGTGCGGAAATTGCTATACCACATCTGGGCCGAAAATGGTAGCAGTTTCCGCACGCAATACAAAAGTATACAAAATTTGCAAACTTTGCAAGGCTATACTGTATTTGCCGCATTTTACAACACTTCGCAACCAAACTTTGCAATATTACTCATTTTAGTATGCTCTTTCTAGCTGTGGTGATTTATTTGCATCTCCTTGCCTAGTTTTAAAATTAATCTATAATGGGAATTGTCTATTAGCACCCATTGGAAAAACTATTTTACTGCAGGGTTGTCACAAACGGGGATATATTGATTGTTCAAACATACATTATTATCAATCCATTTTTGACCGTCTCGTTCAATTTTACATTTCGCTTTCCACTTGCGACCTACTCCATTTCGTACGAAAATCTACAAGAATTAAAGAAAAAATATCTTTAAAAAAATTACTAATTCACAAAATCTAAAGTTGGTACCACAGTAAATGGTGTACATATGCTTTCACCACTCCAACTTGATACAGTTGTCTGATTATAATTCACCTCAGTCACATGTAAGAGAGCTTCCACTTTGGTACTATTTACAATTGGCCCTAACGCAAAGCTTTTACGCAGTACAGTTTAGAAATGCAGTATAAACAAAGTTGGTTTCATTTAGTTTATATTGCAGTAAAATAGCTGTACCTCAAAGTTGTCTCCTGGACAAAGTCTGGCAAAACCATCCAGAGCTATAGAAGTTAAAAGAACAATGTTCCACTTCAGGTTTCATATTTGACATAATGATTCTTATGATAGTGGTGATAGTGGTGATGGTGGTGATAATGGTGGTGATGATGATGATGATGGTGGTGGAGGTGGTGACAGTGTAGATGACACTTATGATGATGCTAATGATGGTGGTAATGGGGATCTAGTAATGATGACATCTGGTGATGATAATAACGACAAGAATTAAGGTGATGGTGGTGGGTGGTGATTGTGATGATGGTGACAATGGTGGTGATGATGGCAATAATGATAATGATGGCAGCTATGATAGATGATGCCAATCAATAATGGTGGTTAAGATGATGATGAGTGGTGATGATGATGGTGACAATGGTGATGATGATGGCAATGGATGATAATAATGGCAGCTATGATAGATGGTGGCCACGATAATGAAGATGACAATCAATGATGGTTAAGATGGTGATGATAGTGCCATAGTGGTGATGATGATTGCAACGATGGTGATGCTGACGATGATGGTTATGTTAGTGATGGTGATAAACTTTGTGAGGTAAAAGAACTTCAAAAAGTTCTAAAATTATGTATATACTAAACTTATTACAGTACCATCAATTGTGACTTTGAATCTTCCCATACGTCTCTCAAATTCATCTTCAATCTCACACATATTCTAAATCAAACCAACACCATATACACAAAGAGCACTTGAATGCAAGACAATATAGACTGCAAAAATATTCCTGGTTTGCACTATCAAAGTTTCTGTGATCACAGTAGGAATTTTGCATTGGTAAATTCTAAGTTTTGAAGGATCTGTACGAAATGTTTGAGAGAATTGACTTGTTGTTAAACACTGAGTCAGTTCTCTCAAACATTTCTTACAAATCCTTCAAAACGTAGAATTTACCGATGCAAAATTCCTACTGTGATCACAGAAACTTTGATAGTGGAAACCAGGCTTTAAACTTAAAGACGACTGATACCTGTGTTGATTCGCGATAGTTTGACTTGCATTTGTCATGCCCATGTTTAACGCCATATGACAACAACGCTGTTTCAAGATTCCTTGCGCCTGTAAAGTAAATTATTTTCAAACACAAAGGCTTAAAAACCCAGTTATTAATCAGAACTGGAAAGTCAGAAAGTCATGAATTTGCTACGTTGTAGCTTACCTTGTCGCATCTTTATTTCATGTTTATAAAACTCATATAGACCATCAATCTGCAAATAATTAAAGTATATCAACTGATATTTTTGCAACTTTAGTGTCACCATCAGGATTTATGTTAACCCTGCAAGTGGCAATGCACCCAGATTTATTATTTTACTCTGTCTAACACCAGACAATTTTACTCGTCAAGGGGAGAGTGCTGCCACTCAATGGGTGAACTGACATTCTGAGTTCAAAAATGCAAACAGACAGAACTGATGCACAACTAACTTACCTGACTTAATCTGTCTTCACACCATCTAAGTGAAATATAATTTGCTTTAGACAGAGCAAAACAACAAGGGGCAAATTAGTAAGGGTACGTGCTGGATAACAGATGTTACTGGGTAAACTATACTGGATCATAACCGGATACTGATGGTGGTACTTGGACAAAACAACACTAACATTTCCTCATAAAATAGTCCAATTTGTCTGTTCAGTATGCGGTACATGGATAGTCAGACGTACACTATAGAGCAGTTTATGTACATCACAAAAACGTGTCACATATCTGGTAGACTAGTTGTTTGTATTTCACAATATCTTAATGCAAAACAGACGGTTTTGTGGCTATAATAAAAGTTCCAGTACTATCCAGTGAATATCCAGCAGAATTGCCAGTCATGTCTATATTTGCTGGACATTGGATAGCGGTACCCGGATCCAGCACATTCCTACAAACTAGCAAATTAGATCAAGTGGTCAATTTGTCCATTAATACTGTAATTTTTACAGGTTATTTTGAGAAGCAGAGATAATGCCTAAAACTAAACCGGAATCTTGTTTTTTTACCACAGTATACGAGATCTCTTACCTCAACTTTTGCTCAAGTGCTCGTCTTGCCTGGTAAAACAATGGAATTTATAAATTCTTGCAACAAAATAACCTTACTTCACTCTATACAGCTTACATGCACTGTGAAATTGTAATAATTTCAACCTAACTTACAGTTATAGGTGAGCTACGAATGTTGTCCTTGACATTTTCTGCAAAATCCCTGTAAACAGAAAAAGTCTGGTTAACTAACTTCCCTATGAAGGGCCAAAGCTCCCCTTAATTGATGCTCCCGATTGGAATCTCCCCTCAATGAAGTCATTATAAATGGCCACAGACAGCTGTTCTCATTTAAAATCACAAAGCAGTAACTTTACGGAAGGTCAACTTCTCGTTTCTGCCTATGATTTTGGTGTAACTGTTGCAATGCTGTCATCGTGATCCTTCAGCCAATGCACTTATGTGAGGTATTCACCCCCTGAAAGTATTCAAAATGACAGATGTTCAGGGGGGTGAATGCATCTTATAAGCACATTGACTAGTACACATGGCAAGAGCATTTTGATGACGAATCATGGCGTGGCAATGGTTACGGTTTTTTGGCAGAGTCGTCCTTCTGTTCGTCTCTATTCTGTGTCTGATAATAAACGGCTAAATTATGTAAATGTATATCTTTGTTGTCAAAAATGTCACCTGCGCCAGCTCACACTTTCAACAAGAAACAAATTAATAATTACTTTAAAGCATTAAAAACTTTTTCAAACAAATCAACAGAGTTCTCAATTTGAGGAATCTTTGGCGTCGATCGACCAGAGAATAATGTTGTCTTTCTAGCTCTCCCTCCTCTTGTTGACCTCGCTCGGCGTTTCAAGATGTCTGGCTGCTCAAGCCCGGATCTCGAAATGTACATTGATTGGCTTCGCTGTGGCGGACCAAATCCGGAGTTGCGGCTAATGCGTTGTTGCGATGAACTGGATGCCATTCTTTTTGCGCTGAAATTTTGGTACTCTTCATAAACTGCCTCTTTTTCTTTCCCCTTAAAGGTAAACACATAATTTAATAAACAGGGATGAATTTATCCTAGGGCTGCACCACACCTAGTGGTGTGTAGCACCATCTTAGATAAGTCTAGCACCGCCCTAAAAATCTGCTTGACCATACATTTTATGCTTTTCGAATAGTGATTAGTGGAACTTCTACTGTTAGCTCATGTCAATTTCTTGAAACGATTTAACCCATTGAGTTGCATTGCGCCCTACCTTATTATTTTATTCTGTCTAACACCAGATGATTTTACTCGTCAAGGGGAGAGCGCTGGTGCTTAATGGGTTAACTGGCCTATCTGCTCATGTGTCTATAAATTAACCTATTGAGTCACTACTTTATTATTTTACTCTGTCTAATGCCAGACAATTTTACTTGTCAGGGGGAAAGCACTGGTGCTTAATGGGTTACTTAGCCTTTTGGGGTACTGCCTCTCCACACGTTTGAGAGTCTCTAGTCTCTGCACCACAAAATACAACTTTGTAGTACTGCAGTTGTTTGCATGATGATAAATTTACAGTTACAACTTTTGAAAGTCGCTTTTCACGTTGTTTGAATTGTCTAGAATCTTTCATGAGGGCAGACAGTACCCCAAAAATGGTGGATTTTGGCCTTCGTGAGAAAGGCTAATTGATTTGTGAGCTCATGAGAAAATACTGGGAATACTTTAGTTAAATATCATGGTTAAAGGTGATCTACAGTCCGTATGTAAACAAAGCCTTTGTTTACATTTTTGCGTCCAAAATATTGAGCTTTATTCGACAA